TGTTTCTGATATATGTAAATGATCTCCCAGAGGGTATAGATTCGTTCCTCTCAATGTTTGCCGATGATGCAAAAATTATGAGGATTGAAACAGAGGATGATAGAAGGAGGCTGCAAGATGACCTAGATAGACTGAATGAATAGTCCAACAAATGACTGCTCAAGTTCAACCCGAGTAAATGCAAAGTAATGAAACTAGGCAGTGGAAACAGGAGGCCAGACACAGGATACAGAATAGGAGATGAAGTACTTAATGAAACAGACAGAGAGAAAAATCTAGGGGTTGATATCACCCCAAACCTGTCTCCTGAAGCAAATATAAAAAGAATAACGTCTGCGGCATATGCGAGGCTGGCTAACATCAGAACAGCCTTCAGGAACCTGTGTAAGGAATCATTCAGAATCTTGTTCACCACATATGTAAGACCAATCCTGGAGTATGCGGCCCCAGCATGGAGCCCGTACCTTGTCAAGCACAAGACGAAGCTGGAAAAAGTTCAGAGGTATGCCACTAGACTAGTCCTGGAACTAAGAGGCATGAGTTACGAGGAAAGGATGCGAGAAATGCACCTTACGACACTGGAAGACAGAGTAAGGGGAGACATGATCACTACTACAAAATCCTCAGGAGTATTGACAGGGTAGACAAGGATAAACTATTCAACACTGGTGGTACACGAACACAGGTGGAAACTGAGTACCCAAATGAGCCACAGAGACGTTAGAAAGAACTTTTTCAGTGTCAGAGTAGTTAACAGATGGAATGCATTAGGCAGCGATGTGGTGGAGGCTGACTCCATACACAGTTTTAAATGTAGATATGATAGAGCCCAATAGGCTCTGGAATCTGTACACCAGTTGATTGACGGTTGAGAGGCGGGACCAAAGAGCCAAAGCTCAACCCCCGCAAGCACAAATAGGTGAGTACACACACAGGCCTGGTGGCTGAGTGAACAGCGCTCGGGATTCGTAATTCTAGGGTCCTGGTATCGATCCCCGGCGATGGCGGAAACAAATGGGACCACCAGGAATTGAACGTCGACCTGGCAGGCCGTCGATGTACCCATCAGTCCAAGTGGCTCGACAGATGAAGTAGCAGTGGTAGTTAATTTCAGATAGTTCAATTTTTGGTCCAGGATAGGCTGTGGTGGGGAAGAGTTCCAACCAAGTGATATACAAACCAAGAGGGATGATTGACCGCTGTAAGTGAGGCGCCCAAGAACTGAAGCTGAACCCCCGTTAACAGAGCAAAGAAGAACACAACGGATAATTCCTATTAACAGACAATCAGATGAGCAGATTACTATTGGTTAAATCAGCGCTTAACGGATGTCAGCACTGTGGAGAAATGCCCGACAGACCACTGGAACATTATCTTACACAGTGCTCAGTTACAGCCACAACAGACCACTGGAACATTATCTAACACAGTGCACAGTTACAAACCCATTAACATTTCAACTTAGATTCACCAAAGCAGAAGAAGTTGTTAAACACATGGGGACATAATCTTACTGAAGCGACCATACGAGTCATAAATACTCCGCCAAAGTAAAACAGAAACAAGACATAAGTAACACATAATAAGCCAGCCAGATGCTTAGGGCCCGCGCAGAAATATCATTGCAAAAATAAACAATAAAATAACGCTGAACGACTAATATATATTCACTAGCCTGCGATATAAACCATTTCCGTTTTCTTTACCACACGTACAACAGGGAATCGGGGATTATGGGACGAGGCAGGATAGACGCAGGTATTATGGAGCGAGGCAGGAGGGACGTAGGTATCAAGGAGCGAGGCAGGATAGACGCAGGTATCAAGGGGCGAGGCAGGAGAGAGAGGAGAAAGGATTATGAGGCGAGGAAGGAGAGAAGGAAGGGACGCAAGAGAGGCTGAAGGGACGCAGGGAATATGAGGTGAAGCAAGAGAGGGAAAGGGATTATGAAGCAAGGCAGAAAGGGCACGTACAACAGGAACAACATTGTTTACTATAGACGGCAGGTGTATTGTCCCCTACTACAACAGGTACAACAGGTGCGCCGTTCCTCATTGCAACAGAAACAACATTTTAATAAACAGGTTAAGAAACCCGGTCGATATACAGGTTGACAAACAGGTAAACAGGTTGATAAATAGATTATTCAGTATTAATAACGCTAATGAAAACAATAACGGTAGTGTTGACAAAAATAATATGATTAAAGTTAATCATACTATCAATAATGGTACTTTATTGTTTAATTAAACAGTTTCATGGCAGGCCCATGCGAAGGTTCGCCCAGTCTTCCCCCCCCCCCTCACGGGGTCAAGTGACATTATAAAATATTTGAGATAATAGGAATCACTCTCATGTGCTTTCTCTCACTACCGACAAGTCTTACCACGTACACATTACGGTGTATAATACAGCTGTTCTATGATCTATACTAAACACAGCTATATAAGGTATACGGAACATTAATATTTGTTAAATACTAAACAAAAATATATTTACGCCAAAGAATTAAATTCAATATTTAAAAATTATTTCTAGAATAATTTTGGCATGATGCGATGCCTTCAAAGTTCAAAATAAAGCTTCGTGTTAAGAAACATATATGTTTTAAATTTGCAGTTCAAGTGAAGAGGTACAGGAAACAATTCCACACATAAACGAACGAGAAAACATTTAAAAAATTATTCTGAACGCGGCCATCATGGGGGGAGGGTAAACAGACAGTGCCCCCCCCCCCATGCTTTGCTTTGGCAGGAGGGCAAAGCTTTGCTAGAAACAAACAGAAGTGTTGTTAGCTTAAGCTAAGTAGTTCTGTCTTTACTTTATAGCCTATTATAATAATTGTTTATTACACACACATATATATATATATATATATATATATATATATATATATATATATATATATATATATATATATATATATATATATATATATATATATATATATATATATATATATATATATATATATATATATATATATATATATATATATATATATATATATATATATATATATATATATATATATATATTACATAAATGTCCAGCATTACTAAAAGAAATCAATGAGCAGTAATAAAATGGTAAATTATTTAGATTAAATGTTACTGCTGTACATTAATCATGAAAATTTAAATATCAGAATCATTCATCTATATATATATATATGGAGCGTAGGTGTGTGTGTGTGTGTGTACTCACCTAATTATGCTTGCGGGGGTTGGGCTTTGGCTCTTTGGTCCCACCTCTCAACCGTCAATCAACTGGTGTGCAGATTCCTGAGCCTATTGGGCTCTATCATATCTACATTTGAAACTGTATGGAGTCAGCCTCCACCACATCACTGCCTAGTGCATTCCATCTGTTAACTACTTTGACACTTAACAAGTTCTTTCTAACGTTCCTGTGGCTCAAGTGGGTACTCAGTTTCCACCTGTGTCCCCTTGTTCGCGTACCACCAGTGTTAAATAGTTTATCTTTGTCTACCCGGTCGATTCCCCTGAGGATTTTGTAGGTAGTGATCATGTCTCCCGTTACTCTTCTGTCTTCCAGTGTCATAAGGTGCATTTCCCGCAGCCTTTCCTCGTAACTCATGCCTCTTAGTTCTGGGACTAGTCTAGTAGCATACCTTTGAACTTTTTCCAGCTTCGTCTTGTGCTTGACAAGGTACGGGCTCCATGCTGGGGCCACATACTCCAGGATTGGTCCAGGATGTGTGTGCGTGTGTGTGTGTCAGGAGATTCGATCAGCTTCAGCTCCTGTGCCCGCCTCTTATATCTAATATCTTACAAGCCTAGTGAAGCTATTTTTATCTTATGTTTGGACGCAGCCTCAACTACCTGTGTCCCGCTCCTGACACTTCTTCAACTCCCGTTAGTGTCCCATGGTCCTGGTCCCTCCCATGTCCCATGGTCCTGGGCCAACCCATGCACCCTCCCATGTCACCCGGGTCTGATTCCACCAATATACGGTAGCCCTGATCCCTCCCATGTGCACGATAAACCCCCCCCCCTGGAGTATTTTGTACGTCGTGACCATAACGCCCCCATCCCCCCCTCCGCTTTCTCTACTACCATGTAAACATGTACACACACACTGCCTGCCTGTCGCGTGTGAGAGAATGAGAATGAATGCAAGTTCCCTGACATCTGTACAACGGGTTTACAGTGACTATATGTAACAGGCGCCGTACCCTGGCAAAGGAACAGTTACCTCCTCTTCCACCACCGCCCTCCCTCCCTCCCTCCTGGAGCTGACATCAGCAAAAGGGAAAGTCACGTAAACAAACATGAGAGTGGCCGCTAGCTGGCGCTACTTTCACTGTCACTGGGTCCTCTGACGGTGAAGATTCCTGGATGCTATTATTGTCCTCGCCTGCACCTTGCCCTCGGCGATAGTGTCGTCACTGTTGGCGTCATCGTTGTTAGTGTCATCACTGTTGGTGTCATCACTGTTATCGTCATCATTGTTATCATCACTGTTATCGTCATCATTGTTATCGCCATCACTGTTATCGTCATCATTGTTATCATCTGATATCGTCGACACTTACCACTGTTATCGTCAGTTATCATCACTTATCGCCACATCGTCGTAATCATCACCATGGGTGCCATCACCACACGCCCTACAATCACTATATCTACATGTCAACACCGTCACCGTACAAGCCAGGTCGCTTTCCTGGGATGGACACGCTTCATGCAGGTCGGCGTTCAATCCCCGACCGTCCAAGTGGTTGGATACAACTCCATCCCCCCGTCCCATCCCAAATTCATATCCTGACCCCTTCCAAGTGCTATAGTCGTAATGGCTTGGCGCTTTCCCGTGATAATTCCTTCTGGAATGGTCAGTAGCATTCAAGACAAGTAAACAATCGTTAACACTCTCAATACATCGATTTCTCCCCCCCCCCACCATCCTCTTCATCTCCCGCAGTAAACAAAATAAATACAATGTTAGTGAGGTAAGGGAAGGCCTTCGTAGTGTCCTACCTGAGGGTCATGTCAGTGGTCGTAGCGGTGACCGCTCCGCCGCTCTGACGACACTTGTGACCGCTAAGCCAACGGGACCGAAGAAAGAAGTTATGCGACCCGTAACTGCCCAAGTGTGTAGGGCGGGCGGGGTGGCAGTTGTTGAAGATGAATGAGACCAACTATGGTGGGGGTGAGAGTGGACGGTGGCGGCGGGCAGTCTTGTGGTGACACGACACACAGGCACACACGCACTCACACACATACACGCGCGGGTGAACGAGTGCACACGAGCTAACAACACACTCGCTGTCTGTACACAAACTGAGTCTTTACCTGCTCTCGTGCCTACACCTCAACCAGTCCCACTGACCCCCTTGTGCTGTACGACACTTTTCCTCCGTCTACAACCCTACTACGCTAATGTCTACCAGCAAACTCCTGGTAAAGTGCACGTAATAATGCGTCACACAACACTTTGATTAAAAAAACTGATTAGAAATTATTGAGAGGAAATGTGCATGAACCCAGCAGTAGTGGATAGTCTCCCAGGAAGCAATAGTTGAAGCGTCTGGCAGGGCTGACGTGCGGGACTCCTGCTTTCACTGGCGCCAAGCTGAAGGTCGTCTTGAGATAGATCTCATCGAGGCGCGGAGCTGGTTGTGCCCGCTGATGCTGCAGCCAGGGAAAGGCCAGGAGCGACAACACCCTCTGGTGGACACTTTGTGGTCTAATTGTTAATTGGTGGGTAACAGCCTAGCCTAGCAGTGGGGCAGCTGCTAACTACTTCCTCCTCTACCAACGATGGTCTCAGTGGGACGTCACCAGCTACCCCCTCCCCCCTCCCACACACACACACACTTCGCTGGTCACATATTCAGATACATATTATTAGCAATGCGAGGATTCTACATTTTATTGAGTAGTATTGCTATTTCTCACATATTTTCAAGATCTGTGAATTGATAATAATAATGAAACAAAATAATAAAACAAATAATAATAAGAAAATTATATTAGTATTATAATTATTATTATTATTATTATTATTAAGGAGCATTTGGGCAGTGTTATGAGAACGGATGGCTGCTTCCCACTAACATCATCAGTAGGGACTCCTGGTTCAACCTTGACGACCAGCGGACGTCTGGGCACCTGCTCCGCCTGGGAGCCGCCCGATCACATTGTTCCCGATTTTGGATTTTGATACTGCTGTTTGGCGTCCCTATTCAATGGTCCGGATTAAATTTTTAAATTTTGCCCCGAGGGGCGAGTTTATTGGGCAGCGCCACTCATCCTGTGAGTGGACATAGCGCCATAGCAGCATGTACAACACTCCCCAATAGGAAGAAAACCCGCTGGGTTGTTCATCCTGTCACTTGTACCCGGACACAGCTAGGACTTGTTTAACTGTCTCAAGTGAACAGCTTCTCAAACAAGAAGATTAACATTGTCTACCCCTTAAAATCTTACGTTATCTTGCGGGTACAAAATGGAGGAATCTCTTAAGAACAGTATCTATATATGACAAATAGTTTTCCTAACTCAAACAATGTGGGGTTTATTATTGTACACATATTTCTAATGACTCTTAGAGGTTCACATTCTCTCAGGAAGTGGTCAAGGCGGTGTCCATCACTCTCACTATAGATTCTGCAACTAGAATTGGTCCGGAATGTTTCGACGCCTCGCGCACATATTGTCTTGGGGTCACAGGACAGTTGATAAATTAACCCTATCAGGAGAAAGTGCCAAGCCATTACGACTATATAGCATAAAGATAGTTGATATATTTTGAACGTTTACTGGGGGTTCTTCGGGCGAGGGGACGGTGTTCGAGCCGGTGCTGGACACCGTCACCAAGAACCAGGAGGTCACCACCTGGAACCAAGAACCAGGTCGTCTCCCGTCACCAGGTGCCGGGCGTTGGTGGGGTCCTGGTGTCCCTCAGACGAGGTGGGCAGCTGTCTTCTGCTCTGCCGGGGGAGGGGGGGACACTGAATGGCTTCTGCGTTTTAGTTGGGGGCCGAGTTTTGGTTTTGCTACCCAGTGTTCTCTGTGTGGGGCGGGGCCGGTGCTTGTCACCCTGAGGGACTCCTGGGGGCTTCTCAATCATCTGCCCGTCTCTGCGTTTATTTGCCGCGAGACATATTTGTTTCCGCTAATAAGCGACATTCATTGCGCCATTAGGCTTCGTGATTAACCCTCCACGGGTACACCTGGGCGTATCCGATCCCACGATTGTCGTCGCCCCTAATTCAACAACAACATCATCAGTAGTTATGGCGGCTGGATTAACAAGCATCTGACCAAATGAAGTAAATATATCTATATTCTGAGTACTGCTGGGTTTCTAATACAATATATTCCGACGAGCAACACAGGCTGACACAGCAGTGACTCGTACATACGGCCATACTAACTAAACTTGCATTGAAATGGTACCTGAGCGCCTCATCACCTGTATCTCAGGTCCTGATCGGACCAATATAATATGGTGGCGTCCGGATGAAAATACCAGCAGGTAATATTAATTTATTTTGTTTTCTATGATTACTTCACGTAATAGCGCCTTCAAGCGTATTGTTGTTAACACACTAAGAACAGCAAGTAATAGAACAACCTTTTTGTACCCTCCTGTGGTTGAGTGTTCAACAACCTGCTGTACTCGGCATTGTAACGACTCAAACCAACAGTTGTTACAACGGTGGATAACGAATTAGTATTTAATATATGGCTGATTTTGTGGTAAAAATGACTCGACCAGCCATCCCACTTCATCTTTCACCACACCACCAGAGAACCATACTAATACATCACAACACCACCACACAATCCCACAACACCCCACCCCACCCCCTAAACACAAGCACAACTAGGCGAGTACACACCACCACTCTACACAATCACCCACCACACCATCACACCACACCACCACCACACCATCACACCACACCACCACCACACCGCCATACCACCATACCAAATACTCTTCCTGTAAGCCCGACAGTCATCACCCACATAAACTCATCAAGGTTATCTTATTTTTATTGAACATTTTTTTCTTATTATCAATAAGTGGCCGTAACCTGCACTCTCTCTCTCTCTCTCCCCTAGGAATCCGATGATATATTACGTCGCTTTGATTTCTTCCAATAGACACGCAATGCTGAAGTGATTACATACATCATCTGCCTTCCATGTGTGTGTGTGTTTATATACTCACCTACTTGAGCCTGCAGGATCGAGCTCTAGCTCTTAGCTCTTATCTTGGACTCCGCTTTTCTAGCCGTTGGTTGTCCAATGCGATGACTCCTGACCCAGTTCCTTATCATACCTGCTTTTAAAGTTATGAATGGAGTTAGCCTCTACAATCTTCTCCTTTAAGGCATTTCATTTGCTCACTTCCATTACGCAAAAGAAAAACTTTCTAACATCTCTATGACACATCTGAGTCTCAAGCTTTCATCCGTGCCCCCTTGTTCTGTTCATATTCATTGTAAACATTTCCTCTGTTGATATCCTTGTCAATCTCTCTAAGTATTTTGTACATCTGTTTTATGTCCTCCCTCTCTCTCCTCCTTTCTAACTTCGTCAGGTTTAGTTCCTTCAGTCTCTCATCGTACCTCATCCCTCTCAGCTCTGGGACGAGTCTCGTTCCAAACCTCTGCATCTTTTCGAGCTGTCTTATGTGTTTTTTAAATGGTGGCTCCAGGATGGGGCGGTGTACTCTAAGACTGGCCTCACATAGGCGGTATACAGTGATCTAAACGCCTCCTTGTTCAAGTTTCCGACGGATGTCCTGACTTTTGCCATAGTAGAGTATGAGGCTAACGTTATTCTATTTATATGAGCCTCTGGAGTTAGGTTTGGTGTTATGTCCACTCCCAGGTCTTTTTTTCTAGTCGTTATAGGTAGGTAGTTTCCGTTTGTCGTGTATTGGCCTTTCAGTCTCTTGGCTCCTGGTCCCATTTCTATCACCTTAAACTTGCTGGTGTTGTACTCTAGCAGCCATTTCTCGGACCAGCTCTGTTGGTCACAGTATAGAGTCAGCCTCCACCACATCACTGCTTAATGCATTCCATTTGTCAACTACTCTGACACTGAAAATATTTTTTCTAACGTCTCTGTGGCTCATCTGGGTACTAAGTTTACACCTGTGTCTCCTTGTTCTTGTTCCACCCGTGCTAAAAAGTTTGTCTTTGTCTTCCCTGTAATTTCCCCTGAGAATTTTGTAGGTGGTTATCTTGTCTCCTCTTATTCTGTTTTCCAGGGACGTGAGGTTCAACTCCTTCAGCCTTTCCTCGTACCTCCTACCTCTCAGTTCCGGGACTAGGTGGCAGACCGCTGAATCTTCTCTAACTCTATCCTATGTTTAACTAGGTATGGACTCCAGGCTGGAGCTGCATAATCCAGATGTGTGCGTGCGTGTGTGTGTGTGTGTGTGTGTGTGTGTGTGTGTGTGTGTGTGTGTGTGTGTGTGTGTGTGTGTGTGTGTGTGTGTGTGTGTGTGTGTGTGTGTGTGTGTGTGTGTGTGTGTGTGTGTGTGTGTGTGTGTGTGTGTGTGTGTGTGTGTGTGTGTGTGTGTGTGTGTGTGTGTGTGTACAGGGGATGAGAGCTAGCACGATGCCTGATGTATCAGAGAGATTATAACACCTAATTACCATAATATTTACAAGGCCGCCGGTGAAAGGTTTAATGAGATGATGATTGAGTGCATTACCTGTGGTCTGGTTCACATGTGTGTGATGATCAGGTGTAGAGGGGTGCTGCCAGCGTGGGAGTGGGTGTGTAGGCTGTGGTGGTGATGGTGGTGGTGGTGATGGTGGTGGTGGTGGTGGTGGTGGTGGTGGTGATGGTGGTGGTGGTGAGGGTGGTGTTGGTGGTGGTGGTGGTGATGGTGGTGGTGGTGAGGGTGGTGGTGGTGGTGGTGGTGGTGGTGGTGGTGATGGTGGTGGTGGTGAGGGTGGTGGTGGTGGTGGTGGTGAGGGTGGTGATGGTGGTGGTATTGGTGGTGAGGGTGGTGATGGTGGTGAGGGTGGTGATGGTGGTGGTGATGGTGATGGTAGTGGTGATGGTGGTGGTGGTGCTGGTAGTGGTGTTGCTGGTGGTGATGGTGTACCACCCATGTTAAATAATCCATCCTTGTCTACCCTGTCAATTCCCCTGAGAATCTTGTATGTGGCTGTTGTTACGTATCCCTAGTTAAGGACCTACCTTACCTTACCTTGAGGTTACCTTGAGGTGCTTCCGGGGCTTAGCGTCCCCGCGGCCCGGTCGTCGACCAGGCCTCCTGGTTGCCGGACTGATCAACCAGGCTGTTGGACGC